GGCCAGTTCCTCTGCAACATAATGGTTATTTGTGTACTGGAGAAATGATTGTAGGCACAGTATAGTTAATACAGGAGACGAGGTGAGTGTTTATTATAGTCTTGGCAGAATTAATGTGGGAGACGAGGTGAGTGTTTATAATAGTCTCGGCCGAGTTAATGTGAGAGACGAGGTGAATGTTTATTATAGTCTTGGCAGAATTAATGTGAGAGACGAGGTGAGTGTTTATTATAGTCTTGGCAGAATTAATGTGGGAGACGAGGTGAATGTTTATTATAGTCTTGGCAGAATTAATGTGAGAGACGAGGTGAATGTTTATTATAGTCTTGGCAGAATTAATGTGGGAGACGAGGTGAATGTTTATTATAGTCTTGGCAGAATTAATGTGAGAGACGAGGTGAGTGTTTATTATAGTCTTGGCAGAATTAATGTGAGAGACGAGGTGAATGTTTATTATAGTCTTGGCAGAATTAATGTGAGAGACGAGGTGAATGTTTATTATAGTCTTGGCAGAATTAATGTGAGAGACGAGGTGAATGTTTATTACAGCGGTAAACTGCCTGCCGCACACGGGACATGTTGCTGGGTCAGGCAATCAATTCCACGTCTCGGGGCCCTTTATGTATGGACATTTTTGCATGGGGTGAAGTGCATTTAAGTCACATTTATGTTGAATTTAAGTCATATTTAACCCTTAAACTGTCCAAACATAAATCTACGATCTCTCAACATCTGAAACTATGTAAAAATGTTGACCTATTTAAGTCACATATAACAGTGTTGGAGATACAACAGAGTTGGAGATACAACAGTGTTGGAGATACAACAGTGATGGAGGCACAACAGTGTTGGAGATACAACAGTGTTGGAGATACAACAGTGATGGAGGTACAACAGTGTTGGAGATACAACAGTGTTGGAGGTACAACAGTGTTGGAGATACAACAGAGTTGGAGATACAACAGTGTTGGAGATACAACAGTGATGGAGGCACAACAGTGTTGGAGATACAACAGTGTTGGAGATACAACAGTGATGGAGGTACAACAGTGTTGGAGATACAACAGTGTTGGAGGTACAACAGTGTTGGAGATACAACAGTGTTGGTGATACAAGTGTTGGAGATACAACAGCATTGGAGGTACAACAGTGTTGGAGATACAACAGTGTTGGAGATACAACAGTGTTGGAGATACAACAGTGATGGAGGCACAACAGTGTTGGAGATACAACAGTGTTGGAGATACAACAGTGTTGGAGATACAACAGTGATGGAGGTACAACAGTGTTGGAGATACAACAGTGTTGGAGGTACAACAGTGTTGGAGATACAACAGTGTTGGTGATACAAGTGTTGGAGATACAACAGCATTGGAGGTACAACAGTGTTGGAGATACAACAGTGTTGGAGATACAACAGTGTTGGAGGTACAACAGTGTTGGAGATACAACAGTGTTGGAGGTACAACAGAGTTGGTGATACAAGTGTTGGTGACACAAGTGTTGGAGATACAACAGTGTTGGAGATACAACAGTGATGGAGATACAAGTGTTGGAGATACAACAGTGTTGGAGATACAAGTGATGGGGATACAACAGTGTTGGAGATACAACAGTGATGGGGATACAACAGCGATAGAGATACAACAATGTTGGAGATACAACAGCGATGGGGATACAACAGAGTTGGAGATACAACAGTGATGGAGATACAACAGAGATGGAGATACAACAGTGTTGGAGATACAACAGTGATGGGGATACAACAGTGATGGAGATACAACAGTGTTGGAGATACAACAGTGATGGGAATACAACAGTGATGGAGCTACAACAGAGTTGGAGATACAACAGTGATGGGGATACAACACTGTTGGAGATACAACAGTGATGGAGATACAACAGTGTTGGAGCTACAACAGTGTTGGAGATACAACAGTGATGCAGATACAACAGTGTTGGAGATACAACAGTGTTGGAGATACAACAGTGATAGAGATACAACAGTGATGGAGACACAACAGTGTTGGAGATACAACAGTGATGGGGATACAACAGTGTTGAAGATACAACAGTGTTGGAGATACAACAGTGATGGGGATACAATAGTGATGGAGATACAACAGAGATGGAGATACAACAGTGATGGGGATACAACAGTGATGGAACTACAACAGTGTTGGAGATACAACAGTGTTGGAGATACAACAGTGTTGGAGATACAACAGTGATGGAGGTACAACAGTGTTGGAGATACAAGTGATGGGGCTACAACACTGTTGGAGATACAACAGTGATGGAGATACAACAGTGTTGGAGATACAACAATGTTGGAGATACAACAGTGTTGGAGATACAACAGTGTTGGAGATACAACAGTGTTGGAGATACAACAGTGGTGGAGGTACAACAGTGTTGGAGATACAACAGTGTTGGAGATACAACAGTGTTGGAGATACAACATTGATGGAGATACAAGTGTTGGAGATACAACAGTGTTGGAGATACATGAGTGGTGGAGGTACAACAGTGTTGGAGATACAACAGTGTTGGAGATACAACAGTGTTGGAGATAAAACATTGATGGAGATACAAGTGTTGGAGATACAACAGTGTTGGAGATACAATAGTGTTGGAGATACAACAGTGATGGAGGTACAACAGTGCTGGAAATACAACAGTGTTGGAGATACAACAGTGTTGGAGATACAACAGTGATGGAGATACAACAGTGTTGGAGATACAACAGTGTTGGAGGTACAACAGTGATGGAGATACAACAGTGTTGGAGACACAACAGTGTTAGAGATACAACAGTGATGGAGATACAACAGTGATGGAGATACAACAGTGTTGGAGATACAACAGTGTTGGAGATACAACAGTGCTGGAGATACAACAGTGTTGGAGATACAACAGTGTCGGAGGTACAACAGTGCTGGAGATACAACAGTGTTAGAGATACAACAGTGATGGAGATACAACAGTGTTGGAGATACAACAGTGTTGGAGATACAACAGTGTTGGAGATACAACAGTGCTGGAGATACAACAGTGTTGGAGATACAACAGTGTCGGAGGTACAACAGTGCTGGAGATACAACAGTGTTAGAGATACAACAGTGATGGAGATACAACAGTGATGGAGATACAAGTGTTGGAGATACAACAGTGTAGGCTATACAACTGTGTTGGAGATACAACAGTGTTGGAGATACAACAGTGTTGGAGGTACAAAATTGATGGAGATACAAGTGTTGGAGATACAACAGTCTTGGCTATACAACAGTGTTGGAGATACAACAGTGTTGGAGATACAAGTGTTGGAGATACAACAGTGTTGGAGATACAACAGTGATGGAGATACAACAGTGTTGGAGATACAACAGTGATGGAGATACAAGTGTTGGAGATACAACAGTGTTGGAGATACAACATTGATGGAGATACAAGTGTTGGAGATACAACAGTGATGGAGATACAAGTGTTGGAGATACAACTGTGTTGGAGATACAACAGTGTTGGAGATACAAGTGATGGGGCTACAACACTGTTGGAGATACAACAGTGATGGAGATACAACGGTGTTGGAGATACAACAATGTTGGAGATACAACAGCGTTGGAGATACAAGTGTTGGAGATACAACAGTGTTGGAGATACAAGCGTTGGAGATAACAGTGATGGAGATACAACAGTGATGGAGATACAAGTGTTGGAGATACAACAGTGTTGGAGATACAACAGTGATGGAGATACAAGTGTTGGAGATACAACAGTGTTGGAGATACAACAGTGATGGAGATACAAGTGTTGGAGATACAACAGTGTTGGAGATACAACTGTGATGGAGATACAAGTGTTGGAGGTACAACAGTGTTGGAGATACAACAGTGTTGGAGATACAACAGTGATGGAGATACAAGTGTTGGAGATACAACAGTGTTGGAGATACAACAGTGATGGAGATACAAGTGTTGGAGATACAACAGTGTTGGAGATACAACAGTGTTGGAGATACAACAGTGATGGAGATACAACAGTGATGGAGATACAACAGTGATGGAGATACAAGTGTTGGAGGTACAACAGTGTTGGAGATACAACAGTGATGGAGATACAACAGTGATGGAGATACAACAGTGATGGAGATACAAGTGTTGGAGGTACAACAGTGTTGGAGATGCAACATGCTGGAGATACAACAGTGATGAAGATACAACAGTGATGGAGATACAAGTGTTGGAGATACAACAGTGTTGGAGATGCAAGAGTGTTGGAGATGCAACATGCTGGAGATACAACAGTGTTGGAGATACAACAGAGTTGGAGATGCAACATGCTGGAGATACAACAGTGTTGGAGATACAACAGTGCTGGAGATACAACAGTGATGGAGATACAAGTGTTGGAGATACAACAGTGTTGGAGATGCAACATGCTGGAGATGCAACAGTGTTGGAGATACAACAGTGTTGGAGATGCAACATGCTGGAGATACAACAGTGTTGGAGATACAACAGTGTTGGAGATACAACAGTGCTGGAGATACAACAGTGATGGAGATACAAGTGTTGGAGATACAACAGTGTTGGAGATGCAACATGCTGGAGATACAACAGTGTTGGAGATACAACAGTGCTGGAGATACAACAGTGTTGGAGATACAACAGTGCTGGAGATGCAACATGCTGGTGATACAACAGTGTTGGAGATACAACAGTGCTGGAGATACAACAGTGTTGGAGATACAACAGTGCTGGAGATGCAACATGCTGGTGATACAACAGTGTTGGAGATACAACAGTGTTGGAGATACAACAGTGCTGGAGATACAACAGTGTTGGAGATACAACAGTGCTGGAGATGCAACATGCTGGTGATACAACAGTGTTGGAGATACAACAGTGTTGGAGATACAACAGTGTTGGAGATACAACAGTGTTGGAGAGTGATGCTGTCTTCATCTCAGATATAACATCAACCTGGTTATTACACACCTGAAGTCACACCTCTGGAGCCACACCTCTGGAGCCACACCTCTGGAGCCACACCCGGAGCCACACTAGGCCGTAAAACAAGGTTAAATAAGGTAGGTTGTGAGAGGCTGTGTGTTGTTGTGGTCTGGACAGTGTTGCCACCACCCTGAACCCGCTATATGTAGCGATGGTAGTACTGGTAACTTCCGCTATATGTAGCGTTGGTAACATTGGTAACTTCCCCTATATGTAGCAATGGTAACACTGGTAATTTACCCTATATGTAGTGCTGGTAACACTAGTAACTTCCCCTATATGTAGTGTTGGTAACACTGGTAACTTCCCCTTTATGTAGCATGGTAACACTGGTAACTCTCGCTATATGTAGTGCTGGTAACACTGGTAACTTCCCCTATATGTAGTGCTGGTAACACTGGTAACTTCCCCTATATGTAGTGCTGGTAACACTGGTAACTTCCCATACATATAGTGCTGGTAACACTGGTAACTTCCCCTATATGTAGTGCTGGTAACTTCCGCTATGTGTAGCGTTGGTAACATTGGTAACTTCCCCTATATGTAGCAATGGTAACACTGGTAATTTACCCTATATGTAGTGCTGGTAACACTGGTAACTTCCCCTATACGTAGTGTTGGTAACACTGGTAACTTCCCCTTTATGTAGCATGGTAACACTGGTAACTCTCGCTATATGTAGCAATGGTAACACTGGTAACTTCCCCTATATGTAGTGCTGGTAACACTGGTAACTTCCCCTATATGTAGTGCTGGTAACACTGGTAACTACCCCTATATGTAGTGCTGGTAACACTGGTAACTTCCCATGTATGTAGTGCTAGTAACACTGGTAACTTCCCCTATACATAGTGCTGGTAACACTGGTAACTTCCCCCTATATGTAGTGCTGGTAACACTGGTAACTTCCCCCTATATGTAGTGCTGGTAACTTCCCCTATATGTAGTGCTGGTAACACTGGTAACTTCCCCTATATGTAGTGCTGGTAACACTGGTAACTTCCCCTATATGTAGTGCTGGTAACACTGGTAACTTCCCATGTATGTAGTGCTGGTAACACTGGTAACTTCCCCTATATGTAGTGCTGGTAACACTGGTAACTTCCCCTATATGTAGTGCTGGTAACACTGGTAACTTCCCCTATATGAAGTGCTGGTAACACTGGTAACTTCTGCTATTTCTAGTGCTGGTAACACTGGTAACTTTCCCTATATGTAGTGCTGGTAACACTGGTAACTTCTGCTATATGTAGTGCTGGTAACACTGGTAACTTCCCCTATATGTAGTGATGGTAACACTATTAACTCTCGCTATATGTAGCAATGGTAACACTGGTTACTTCTGCTACATGTAGTGCTGGTAACACTGGTAACTTCCCCTATATGTAGTGCTGGTAACACTGGTAACTTCTGCTATATGTAGTGCTAGTAACACTGGTAACTTCCCCTATATGTAGTGATGGTAACACTATTAACTCTCGCTATATGTAGCAATGGTAACACTGGTAGCTTCTGCTATATGTAGTGCTGGTAACACTGGTAACTTCCCCTATATGTAGTGCTGGTAACACTGGTAACTTCTGCTATTTGTAGTACTGGTAACACTGGTAACTTCTTCTATATGTAGTGCTGGTAACACTGGTAACTTCTGCTATATGTAGTGCTGGTAACACTGGTAACTTCACCTATATGTAGTGCTGTTAACATTGGTAACTTCCCCTATATGTAGTGCTGGTAACACTGGTAACTTCCCCTATATGTAGTGCTGGTAACACTGGTAACTTCTGCTATTTGTAGTGCTGGTAACACTGGTAACTTCCTCTATATGTAGTGCTGGTAACACTGGTAACTTCTGCTATATGTAGTGCTGGTAACCCTGGTAACTTCACCTATATGTAGTGCTGGTAACATTGGTAACTTCTCCTATATGTAGTGCTGGTAACATTGGTAACTTCCCTTATATGTAGTGCTGGTAACACTGGTAACTTCCCCTATATGTAGTGCTGGTAACACTGGTAACTTCCCCTATATGTAGTGCTGGTAACACTTGTAACTTCCCCTATTTGTAGTGCTGGTAACACTGGTAACTTCCCCTATATGTAGTGCTGGTAACACTGGTAACTTCCCCTATATGTAGTGCTGGTAACACTGGTAACTTCCCATATATGTAGTGCTGGTAACACTGGTAATTTCTGCTATATGTAGTGCTGGTAACACTGGTAACTTCCCCTATATGTAGTGCTGGTAACACTGGTAACTTCCCCTATATGTAGTGCTGGTAACACTGGTAATTTCTGCTATATGTAGTGCTGGTAACACTGGTAACTTCCCCTATATGTAGTGCTGGTACCACTGGTAATTTCTGCTATATGTAGTGCTGGTAACACTGGTAATTTATGCTATATGTAGTGATGTTAACACAGGTTACACAGCCATACACAACTGTAGGTCAGACCAACAAGGGGTGGCACAGCTATATGTAGTGCTGGTAACACTGGTTACACAGCCATACACAACTGTAGGTCAGACCAACAAGGGGTGGCACAGCTATATGTAGTGCTGGTAACACTGGTTACACAGCCATACACAACTGTAGGTCAGACCAACAAGGGGTGGCACAGCTATATGTAGTGCTGGTAACACTGGTTACACAGCCATACACAACTGTAGGTCAGACCAACAAGGGGGTGGCACAGCTATATGTAGTGCTAGTAACACTGGTTACACAGCTATACACAACCGTAGGTCAGACCAACAAGGGGTGGCACAGCTATATGTAGTGCTGGTAACACTGGTTACACAGCCATACACAACTGCAGGTCAGACCAACAAGGGGGTGGCACAGCTATATGTAATGCTGGTAACACTGGTTACACAGCTATACACAACCGTAGGTCAGACCAACAAGGGGTGGCACAGCTATATGTAGTGCTGGTAACACTGGTTACACAGCCATACACAACTGTAGGTCAGACCAACAAGGGGTGGCACAGCTATATACTACTCGACCAACTAGAATGTATCACTAATACTTGCACAAGGGATGAACATGGGGAATATGTAATAGCTAACTTCAAATCTAAATACCTACAAAAACCTCTCATAAACATCTACATAGTTCCACAGTCAAACATTAGAAGTTTTAGTGACAACCTGGGAAGTATGATAACTGATGCACGCATTATCTGAAGTTTACCTGGAGAGAGTTCCAGGGGTCAACGCCCCCGTGAGCAAAGATCACTTACTACTGCCTGGTTGATCAGGCTCTGATCCACCAGGAGGCCTGGTCACAGACCGGGCCGCGGGGGCGTTGACCCCCGGAACTCTCTCCAGGTAAACTCCAGGTAAACCCTCAGGTGACTTCAATATAAATCTGCAAGACCAGGACCCACACGTTACTGAATTCACAAACACTGAGTAACTGCATGTTGCTACCAACAGTAACAAAACCTACAAGAGTTACAGAGACTAGTGTTTCCCTACTAGACCACATCTGGACCAACACCATATCCCCCTTAAAATCGGCCATAATCACAGATAATACCACAGACCACTACCCTACCTTCCTCATAACAAACCTTGGCAAATTACTCCTAGACACTACTAAAGTCACTTTCAGACTTCACAATGAGGCAGCTATTAATAACTTCACAGCAGCAGTGACAAACACTGACTGGCACACTGAGCTAGAAATCTATACAGATATTGACGAATGTATTAAAAATTTTCTAAAAAAGACCCAATACCTCTATAACAAGCACTGCCCTAAAAAACTAAACAGATGACTGCAAAGAGACTGAACAGTCCCTGGCTAACACCCAGCATCCTCAAATCCTTAAATACAAAACACCGATATGAAAAACAGTACAGAATGGGCCACATAACCAGAGACCAAACAAAACGTTACTCGTCAATCCTAACCAGCCTGATAAAAAGGGCTAAAAAACTGTATTATGAGAACAGATTATCCAACTTACGAGGTGATATAAAAAAGACCTGGAAAACCCTATTGGAAATTCTAGGAACAAAAAAGATAACACGAAATAGCGAGATTGAATTAACAAAATCAGATGAACCCCAACTCCCACAACTGAAACAGCAAACAGACTCAATAATTTCTTCTCCACTATAGGAAAAAACCTTGCCAATAAAATCCCAAACTCAGATACCCCACCCAATGACTACCTCACTGGCAACTACCCGAACACACTGTTCCTAGCTCTGACTAACACTGGCAACTACCCGAACACACTGTTCCTAGCTCCGACTAACACTGGCAACTACCCGAACACACTGTTCCTAGCTCCGACTAACACTGGCAACTACCCGAACACACTGTTCCTAGCTCCGACTAACACTGGCAACTACCCGAACACACTGTTCCTAGCTCCGACTAACCCAACTGAAGTCTCCCTTATTATCAACAAACTAAAAAACAAGACAGGAGATTTAAATACCTTACCACCCATTATATACAAAAAAGTGTCACAAGTGCTATCACCAATCATTGCAACATTCTTTAACAAATCTATAGAATCCTCTACCTTCCCTACAGTTCTCAAAATAGCAAGGGTCACCCCGATCCATAAAGGAGGAGACCACACAGACTTGAATAACTATAGGCCAATATCCAACTTACACCCTCTCTCTAAAATCTTTGAAAAATTAATCCATAAGCGTATCTATTCCTACCTCATCTCGCACAACATACTCAACCCCTGTCAATTTGTTACAGTTGACCACGACTTGCTCCACATAAAATTGTCGCACTGTGGTATAATAGGGCACTCCCTCAACTACCTAAAGTCATACCTCAGCAACAGAAGCCAATATGTGTACACAAATGGGGCAAACTCTTCCGCACAGCCAATTACAGTTGGTGTCCCACAGGGAAGTGTCCTTGGCCCTCTTCTCTTTCTCATATGCATAAATATGGCATGCAAAGAGTACGTAACCTTTATTCGGCGCATGTACACACCCTCATTTACAGGCTATCTCCCCCAACCAGCGAACCAGGTGACTGAGGGTTAACGATGGGGCCCCGTCGTTCAACCAGTAACCAGGTTCCAGCCAATAAGAAGATGGTTTTGGCAATCGCAGAGGTTATGTGGGTACCACTCTCCTG